GTATTTGGTAATATATGTATGTATTAAAATTAACAAGTAAAGAAGTGTCCCAGCAAAACCAGCGTGACCGAAACTCCAACACAAACGCAAATTTTATGCTGTTACTAACACACATGTAATAATTTTTGATTGGAGTGCCATCTATTGTTTTTTCTTGCGAGGTATCTTTCGCATATGAGTAAGTAGTCAAGCTAATCTTTTCACATATGAGCAAGCAGGCAAACTATTTGGTTTGAAAAATCACACGTACACAAAACTTCTGGGAGCATTTTTGATTCACTATTAAGAATGTGATAGCAAAACGTGCCGAACTTAATGGGCACGCGTGACGGTCACGTTACTAGGAAAGTGACCATCACTGTTCTTGCTGGGGTAAGGTATCAAATATTGTCGTTTAAACTTTCTCTGAACTATCTTTGCATGATAAGTAGAGGTGTTTAATCGATTTCAGAGTTTTCGATAATATGCAGAGTTAGACTTAATGATATAATATAATACAAATCGATTAAATGGTTACCGAGGTACACCTTTGTAGTTATAAAGTGGGCGGTGCTGCGCCCAATTCCTAAAAGTCTATAGCAGCTATTTATTGTTTGGAGACTGTTGTAACTATTAACTTGGAGTAAATAAGCGTCCTCAGTTATTGAAATATCGGAGTTTTCGTAATTCTGAAATTTACCGTTGTTCGGAAAGCGGGTGTAATTTTAGTCCGATTTGAATAATTTTCAACAAATTGCTTTTCCGTGCCAAGGTTATTAAGTGCACCGAGTGTGGTAGAAATTGATAAATCAGTTAGAGAGATACACATTTGTGGTCATAAGTGGGCGGCGTCACGCCTATTATCCAACAATTTTTAATATTCTAATTTTATGATAAGTGGTTATTGTAATCATCGATCTTAAGTAAGTTAGCTCCTGTAGTTACTGATTTATCGCAGTTTTCGTGTTTCTGTAAATTACGGTTATATGGCAGGTGGACGTGGTTATTTCCCGATTTCAAAGATTTTCAACAGATTTCTTAGCTAGACCCTACCCCAGCCTCGAACTGAGTTTGGTAAGGATTGGTGAAGCGGGTACTGATTTCATAATAACATAATTTTTTACCGCAATTCTACTCCACATACTTATTTTCAACAATTTGCATCTAACATTTACTGAAGTATCGCAGTTTTTGCATTTAACATGTTACAGTCCGATTTCGCCCATTTTCAATACCAACCTACCTTGGATAAAGGGCAACCTACATACCAAATTTCGTTGAGACATCTCAATTTTTGCCAAGTTATCGTGTATTCGGACAGACGGACGGACGGACAGACAGACATGGCTTAATCGACTTCTCTTTCCATTCTGATCATTTATGTATACAAATGGCGCGTAAGCCAATGGATAATGGCAAGTAAGTCGATTAGTTCCTACAACGTGCGCGGGAGCACACAAACTATACCGGGCAGTAATTCGAGCTCCGATAAGCTCGACGGTGTATTCTCTCTCAGGCGGCTACGGTAGAAAATTAAAGCCAAAACTTAATTGTAGATAAACCTATGAATTTCGAAATGCAGTGGAAAAACATAAATTTGTATCCACGGGAAAATACAGACTCCACCATAAACTCTTGGATCTAAGTTGAAGAATTCAGAAATTAATTAGAACAAAATCTTTTTCTGAACGCGCGGATTTGGGTTGTTGGTGTTTCCGACAGGCTAGGAGTGTGATGTAATGTAGAACGAATTTCCGAACGAAAAATGACACTGAAGATGGCACAACGCCAAAACCGGTTTGCCTCCAAACCAAATTTGACAAGGGATGACGGAAAACAGTTTTGCCGTTTTGATCGAAATGGATCAAAATGATACGTTTTTCATCGAATTTTTAAAAGATACTCTTATTTTTATCTTAGTATAAATTGTGATACATTTTAATTCACAAGCAAGCTGGAGGTAACTCTTCCCATCTTAAGACTTTTATGATTTTGTGGCAACACATTCAGTTTTTTTTTTCAGTGAACATACTACCTTTATTCGGCATATGGCATCACTTTTAGCGACAGACAACTAGCCTGCTCCCGTACTCCAGGATTTAGTCCGTAATAGTCCGAAGTCGTTTCCTTTCACACATTTATCATATATATATATATTTTGTATCATATCGAGCCCTAACTGCCAAAAGGGCGTAAGCGACAACCTGTTCGATTTTCTGTTTGGCGGAAATCGATTACCTACCACCATACGCACCGATTGTCAAAATTTCAAGGTCCTACAAAGTAGCGTTACAAAGTTATAGCGAAAGCAATTTTGGCTTAAGTGCTTAATTGTACTCTGTTTACATTTTTTTGTGCACGCAGTGTCGGTTAAGCCTTTTTCTCCGTGAACAATTTTTCATTGCAGAGGGGAATAGTTACATTTTTGTGTGAAAGTTTTGAAATCCCTCTACTTTACAAGCTTTTATTTCACTTGCTCTGTATGCCTTTTATTTTTATATATACAAGGAGAACGCATCCAAAGCCTAACCCCCATAGCACATTGAGTGCCATGGCTACACGTTTTCGTGCGACACCAAAAACTTCCTGGGGTGCCACGTCGTACGAAAACGTGCGACAGGCATTGTCTGGCCTTAGATATTGTCGTGCGTTTCTGTTTGACTCTACGGGGTTTTTTTATTGTTTTTCTAGTAGCCTAATGTTTGCCCTAAATTTTGGTCCAAGCTTCCTAGAGATATCTTCATTTGTGCAGTTTTTATGATAAAAACTCGGAGGTTCTTTTAAATTTTGAAAATTTATTGGAATTCATTCGAAAAAAGTATAAAAAAGATAGAAAAATATTAAAATTAAGATATGATAATTTCAATTTACATTAATTTTTTAAATGCGTATATTTTGGAAAGCAATCAATGCACAATTGGGGAGTGTTGGGGCATTGCGGACAGTACGTAGTTGTCCTTTTGATGTTCTTTCTGGCTTCCTTTCGACTAAATTTTCTTTTTGCTTCAGCGTAGCATAAAACGCAAGCACGTCGGATGGTTTTATTATTTTCATCTACTCTTTTGGTGATGATATGCTGCGATTGCGGTACAGGCTGTGGGCATGTAAGGCCTAGTAGGTCCTTAGCAACGCGTTCACGGAATGTTCGTATACTCATGGTTTTATTATTCGACGCTGCTTTATACACAGTAAAGGCATTAACCATGGAAAGTCCGAGTAAAAGCTCAATTCCCAGCTTTCGATACCATTTTAACCCTTTGCAAAGGGTATTTGAGTAAGAAGCCATTTGGTCGGAAAGATCAATGCCTGCTTTCCCCTTATTATATTCTACCACAGCCAATGGCTTTTCTGTTGCTCGTCTTTTACGTCTCGCTCCTCGACTAGTTGAAGGCTCTTCAGGATTACGTGCTCCATCTGTTGTGGATACCATTATCGGGGCATGTTTCGTAGATAGCATTCTGACGTCGCGTTTATCTTTCCACTTCAGAACAACTATACCATTGGGATCTTCTCTAGCCCCTACTTCGCCTTTCTTTATAGGTGCAATCATAACTTCTTTTGGGAAATGTTTCTTGTTGGCACGGAGTGTACCGACAACATGTGTTTTTTGATCTAGCATAGAACGAGCCAATTCATAGCTTGTGTAAAAGTTGTCTACATATAAAGTTCGACCTTGACCTTTCAAATCAATAATCAGATCCTCGCAAACACTTTTTGCCAAACCGACTTCTCTCAATCCACTTGATGACTTTCCGGAGTATATTTTCAACGACCAGGTGAATCCTTCAGTAGCGCAGAGCTTAAAAGCTTTATACCATAAGGATGAGCTTTATTTGGTATATATTGTCGGAATGATAGTCTGCCTCGCCATGGAATAAGGGTCTCATCAATTACTATGTTTTCACCTGGTACGTAAATTCTTTGGTATCTCATTTGTAGCATGTCCAATAGTGGTTTTATTTTACCAAGCCTATCACCTACAATTGAGATATTGTCTGTGAAGTGCAGGAAACTAAGCAATAGTTGAAAGCGATTACGTGACATTGTTTTCCCCGGAATTGAAAAGTTGTAGAGCGAATCTTTGGACCAATAGTCTTTTAAACTCCCGACCTTCACCAAACCCATCCACAAAATAAGGCCAAGGAACTTCTTCATTTCAAAATCTGTTGTTGGTATCCAATTTTTTTTTCGAGAAAATCTGGTAAGAGCACCTTTATTTACATATTCCTCAGCATATTTATCTGTTTCTGATACAATTACTTCAATAACGTCGTTGTCAAGAAATAGGAGAAATGCATCGATACAGGAAATATCTGTTGGAATAGGCTGTTGCAAGCCTGATCGCCCAGTGAATGTAAAAGTTTTCTGACGAGAACTAAATTCAGTCCAAATGTTTGTTTCGGAAAAAATAAAAGAAAATAAAAAAAAAACAAAAAATTGAAATAAAAACAGATATAATAAAAAATTTAAATAAATGTAAATGAAAATGCGTAAAAAAAAATTAAGAAATAGTAAACAAAATCGCGTCGCACATTTTCGTACGACAGTGATTTTTACGATTACAATTCCGTCGTGCAGTGCCATGTCGTACGGAAACGTGCGACATAAAAAAACCGCTATAAAATCCAAAATAAACCACAAAATCATCCAGGATTGGAGCAGAACTGAATATTTTCTACTTTTACACCAGTTTATAGCAAAAAATGTTCTTGGCACCCGGGGAAGGTTTTCGTCAAAACCCCTTGGCACTCAATGTGATAGAGTGGAACTTCAATCCGAACTAAAACTCCTTGTCTTTCTCTGAATGTATGTATGTATGTATGTTTGTGTATAGCCCTGTTCGCGTACGCACTATCCAGTAAATCCAGTACTAATTTTACTGGATGCCGTTTTCGTACGCAAAAACTTGCAAGAAACTAGAAGTAAAACTTTCTGGAGCTAAAAAAGTGCAGATAATTTTTAAAAGAGCTAAAAAATAGCTAGGTAGTGATGTGCTGAATTTTCGGTACCCAATACTTCAGAAAGATTTCGGTACCCAATACTGCAGCTACATAATTGCAGCTTTTTGACATAATTTTCAACAGAATATTTGTCAAAAAAGTTGCATCGACTTTATTTCGACTATGAATATGATTCACAATTAGTACGAGTAAGACGATGCTTTCCCAAAAGTTGAACAATTTGTACTAAGCAATGTGGAAACCACATATCAAAACACTCTCATCGCCTTCTTAATATTGTCGCAACAGTAAACTACCATTTTATCAGTTTCCACCTTCGTAGATCTAAAATTGAGGAAACATACTTTGACGTATGAAGGAACTCTTTCAAGGCCCCGCCAGATAGAAATTCTTTTCTGCGTCACAGGGATGCTTTTGACTGACAAAGCGCACAGAAAATGCCGAGGCGGCACAATGAAAACGTTGCCGCAAACAAAACGCGTCAATTTGATTGGCCAAAAATCAGTTGGTTTGAATTCGTTCTATATATTTTTGTTGCTAATATTGTTTTGCCGCATACGCGTGCGTCAAAAGTTGAGAGTTCGGCAAATTTTATCAGTTGCGTCAACGCATGCGTTGCCAATGTGGCATCTTCTATTTAAAATCACAGAGTTGACCTGTATGTCAGCCAAAAGCATCCCTGTGACGCAGAAAAAAATTTCTATCTGGCGGAGCCTTCAGGCCTACAAAGATAACATCGTCCGATTCATCTAGAAAAAAATTTTTCAAATAAGGAAGAGTTTCTCTGCATTGTGGCGATGGAAAATGGAAATTAAAACCTCAATTAGCCCCCATACTTGCTTTAGATAGGCTTAGGGACACGATATCGAACAGAAAGTATCGATATGGTACTCATTTAAAGTATCGCTTTAAAAATATCGGGAACCCATTAATATCGGAATAAAAAGACTCGATATTTCAAATATCGATACCAAAATCCCAAAAATGTATATGAATATAGGTCTCGCACATGATTCAATAATACAAGGTTAGATAATTATTGACAGCTGCGGTTTGACACTCCCTTACAAAAGGTTGCATTTACGAAGGACAGAGAAAGGGCAAGAATGCAATCCCTTGTTGCGAAAATGGTAGTAGAAAAGTACTCAAAGTTGGCAATTAGTAGTGAAATTCCTTTCGTAAATTCTAATGTATTTGCAGGAAATCTGGCATTTTAAACGAAATTGATATATCTAAGTGAATTACGTAATTTATATGCTATTTAGGGCCAGTTACTCAATGTCTGGTTAACACTAATCTCCGGTAAAACATCGTTATCGACGTTACCGACTCCATGTTATAAGCATGGAGCCGAACACGTCGATAATGATGTTTAAACGGAGATTAGTGTTAACCACATATTGAGTAAACGGCCCTTAGCCGTATAAAAATTGCAAAATGACTCAAAATTAAAATAAGACTACTATGAGATTGATGTAAACATCCAATGCTTATGTTTTCGTCAGTTAAATATGCATCATATGCATATACAAATAAACATATTGCACAAAAGCTTATACTTTTATTTCACCCCGAAGCTCCACTGTTTCCATGTAAATTTGCAAAGAAGCAACACGGCGCCACTGCTAAGGGAGCGGTGTGAGAGAGACAACTGTCAGTTTATAGAACCTTGTATTATTGAATCATGGGTCTCGTATATAGGCCGCTGTAGTGTAATGATTAGAAGTGCTCAAAACTTGAAAATGAAAAACAGCTTCCCAGTAAAACAAAATCGCCGTTCAAAGTCGCCTTAAAACTGTAGGGACCCCTTTTTTGCCACAACATTAATAGCCCGAACACAATGAAAACGACGACCTATGGACCATAGCTGTCAAATTATTTTAACACTTACTCTTATGTAGATAATTATTTTGGCACCGACCGCGCTACGCGACGACTGTGGTTGTGGCCAGATTAGATCTATTTCTATTTTTCCAGCGACAGATTAGGTTCTTCCTCTTCTTTTGTGTCAAACTCGTACAAATTCATGATGTCGCCGACGCATTCAAAAAAATCATGTCGCTATCGACAAAGCGTTTAGACAATGAAGATAACAAGTTGGAAGCTGTGGCCCGTAGCTCGTCGTTTTTAATGTGTTCAGAACTTAAGGCGCACTTTACAAATCGGAGGAGAATGTCAGTCAAACACTAACATATTGTGTAACAACACGTAGAGATTGAGGTGTTGTCTTAAAACACCGAAGTCGCGGGTGCAAATTCCACAACATGCAATCCTAACTATATTACACATTTCTGCTCTTAAAGCCCAATTTATTATTAATTGTTAAGAACATTATCCTTGTAATGTGAGTGTTGCGAAGACATTAATAGTAATACGAACCTTGTTATAAAATTAAGGTTAAGTGAAAAAACCGCGTGTCTTTTCTTTAAAAATTCCGAATTCAATCGAGTTTTTTACAAAAAATACAATTCTCAGTTGTCATTACAGGGTTGCAAAAGGTAAAACAATTCAATGTTCAGTACAACATTACAGGGCTGCAAAAAGTTAGTAGAAAAGTAAAAGACTATGCAATAATATTGAACAGTGAGTTTATTACATTCGATACGATACTAGGGTTCAGGTACTCGATTCCAAAAAATATCGTTTTAAAACTATCGAGTAGAAAATATCGGTATCGAATGCCAAAAGTATCGATATGGTATCGTATCGTATCGAAATTCGTGTCCCTAGATAGGCTAGGCTCCCCTAAACCGCTTTTATTTTTGGTTTACATGCGTTGTTATAGGAAGCCCAAACGTTTCGGTAGCGAGTATCGAAAGTATTGGATACTTTTTAAATCGGTACCGAGTATCGATCAATACTTCAAAGTATCGACTCAGCACATCACTAGAGCTAGGAGCTAAAGCCCAATTTTCGGAGCTAAATAGAAAAATAAAGAGCTAAATCTAGCTTCAAAAGCACGAAAACATAATGGAAGAACCATGTGCAGAATGACCTGTAGGCATCTTGGCATGAACAACTAGCGCAAATCCAGCAAAGTTTTTTTGGTCTCGCCCAAACCAGCAAACGGTTGTAGTGCTAAATAAGAAGAACAAGAAGTATTCAGAGACTTCTAGTAGAAGTTAATAACACATATTTTAACAATTTAACCCGATATACCTCTTTTAATGGGAATTATTTTGCTTTTTTCCGCAAAAGGGGCAAAAAAGAATATCTAAGGAGGTGTTAGAGGTTTAAACTATCCCACAATAGTGTTCTCCGTCGTAATTTACAAAGAACTGCAGAATATGTCCTACATGTATTTCTAAAATGAGAAAGATAATTGGTTTCCTATGCAGAATTACGTTGATGGAATATCCGAAGATCCGAAGAAACTAAAAAAAAAAATAAATTTTAACTGTTTCGTGTGAATTTTGTAGCTAGCGTTGCCAGGTTTTTTGCGCGAAATCAGTAACTTAGGCTTTTTCATGCTATAAAAATCAGTACTTTTCAGTACACTTTTCAAAGCAAAATTTTGAATGTAAGTAACAGAAAATGCTTTAAAACGAGAGAGTATTTGTTTTTAACAATATTTTGAAATATATGTGAA